AGCCAAGCTAAGGCACGTGTGAGTGAGGTTACCGGAGGCCCAAATCTTCCTTTAAACATCCGACACCCTAATAGATTAGGCCGTAGACGGCCGGAAATATGCAATGGTAACTCGTCTGATGTAGTAAGTGTCTATGGGCGGCGCCGATTGCTTACCATCAAGTACTCCATCTGCCAGTTTGAAGGCTTATCGTACAAAAAAACATGATTTAATAGAATGTACTTTTCTTAACAAACTAATCCATAGAAATCAACAAACAAGCCACAACACTGCTTTCAATACATATAATCTATACAAGTACACCATAAACTCAAAATCCTCTTCCGCGAACACAAGCACGCACCCAGTTATTTTCCCATGAGACACAAACAAAGACTCGATTTTCCTATAAATACTTGAGTAAATATGACCAAACCGAAAATAAACAAGATCATTAAAAATATAGGGCGCCGAATAAATGGCAGTGTTGTGGGGCATGATCAAGTAGCTCTGGATATTCGAGGACATGGGGTGTGGTACCAGTGCCAGCGAGTTTTAGAAGCCTAAATAAAGACGGCACCACTCACAGCGAGAAGCGGAAAGCGGGTAATCTCCATAATGTGTGTTTGTATGCGTTGTTACGCATCACCATCATCATCAGCCTATAAGTACCCACTGCTGAGCAAAGGCCTCTTCTCACACGGAGAAGGTTTTGAGCATTAATCACCACGCTTGCTCAATGCGGGTTGGCGATTTCAAACTTATAATTAGTAATTATAAGTCCAGGTTTCCTCACGATGTTTTCCTTCACCGTATGTCAGTGATGTCTAAATAATCATAGAAAGTACATATAACTCGGAAAAAGTCACAATGGTACTTGCCAGGTTTCGAACCCGCACCCTCATGCATGAGAAGCGGGCGCCTTAACCTCCAGGCCACCACGACGATTACGCGTTGTTACGCGTTACACCCTAAATGACTGCATTAAATCGTAAGTATAAGTTGTTTTTGTTTTACGAGAAATACTGTTTAAAATTGAAAAATGACAGAATAACCAGAAAAATTCGTAAACACTATCTGAGCGAATTCGGGACGAGCCGTCATTTCAAAAGTGTGAGCTCATTTTTCTGAGAAAGGGAGAATAATTAAAATCGTGATTGCCAACATTTGTGTGATTCAGAGATCTTTCGAATTGGAATCTGTAAGTATTTATATTCATGTAGACTAATACAAAATATCTATTTATAAATAACGTGGGTATATAATACTCATTCTTTGGATATTTTAATCGAGTAGTGCTAGGTATGTTTTACTCAATCCAGGAACGGGAAACTACGACTTGACATCAGCTTAAGTCGATACAACTAGATCATGAACTTGGAACTGATTATACATCCATATTACTTTAAGCATGTTTTCCAGACAGAAATAGTACTGTAACAATTATAACAACAAATGTTTGTGAAATCAACAATTATTATAATTTAGCACAATTAGGGACCTCCAAGACATTAACCATTTCCCAAAAAGTTATTTTATTCTCATTAATACTGTGGCACCAACACTGTGCTGACAACACAAACTCTTCGCAAGCAAGGTCGCGATCGCTGCGACCCCACTAGTACGAAATCACTGACTTCAAGGTTTTTAAGAGGCCCTTATTTGAGGGTCCACTCCAACTGTGGCGATACGAGTATCTGAGGGTCTTTCAAAACATGGACGAGGTCCAAGTGTTGCAGATATTGAGAGGGATATAATTAGATATTGTTGGTTATACATATAAAGAAGTTTGAACTATCAAGGATAATAAACATATAACAAAACAATATATTTTTGTAAACCAACGGTTACAATCATTAGTGAATGTGTCTTAAAGACTGTATAAATTAATAAGAAATAACCCAGATAAACAGTCTAAGGCTTGAATATTAATCGCCACGTTTGCTTGAGACAGATTGGCGTTGCAAACTTATAATATGATTAAACGATGTAACAAAGAAATGCATTGTGAAACTGATTGAAAAAGAGTAACCACGGAGTTTCTTGCTCGTTCTTCTCCATCGGAATCTACACTTTCGAACGTGCAAAAATAATAATAGCAGGGCACCTTGAGGCGAGGTGACGGGAATTAGCGATCCCGCGGGCTACCATCATCCCGATTGCTCCAGGGAGGAGTCACCGTTCCTTATCTCCGGCTTGCCTTCATTGGCTGGTCGGAGTGAACGATGACGAGGAACAGGTCTCCCACCTCTGGCTTGCCTTCATTGGCCGTCCAGAGTGGAGTCGCGAGAGTAGTGATCCTGCTCGGAGGGTGGAAGCTGTTCGTAAGCGGCGAGTGGGCCAGTGATGCAGGATGCTTAGGCAGATGCAGATGATCTGAGTAGAAAGCTGGTGGCAGTTTCTTCACCCTTCAGCCACTCACATTTCCGTTGTCCCTCTGTTGCTATTACTAGCAACCATCCCCGGGGGCCCGGTCGGTGAGTTGGCGAGTCTCCGCCTGCCATTTTTACGTGTATAAATTACATTGTTTCGGCAGGTGCCATAGTCCTTTCATAGTTCCTATCCTACTAGCCCATAGCAACCCACACCCATAGCCTTGTATTTTGTTCCCATTATCTGCAATAGTCCTACACTAACCGGGGACTGTCCTTGGGTGCATTCCCATAATGCATACAGGGATAGTCGCCGGTTTGTGTCCCATTTCATTTAGATTAAAGTTGTCTAAAGGGCCTCTGCGCAGTTGGCTCCGGCCCCTCGTACGCCTTCCAAATGACCGGGACCCTGTGGTCCCGTGATTGGTAAAGACATACATAATAATAATAGCTTCCTGTATCGTATGTCAATGGCGTCTAAATAACTTTGAAAAGATAAAAATAACTCGAAAAAATCACATTATTACTTCCGATTCGCAATATCATGCATAACAAGCGGATATCTTCTGCAGCGCACCACGAAGTTCTGTAAAATATAACCTAATGAGGTAGGTTGCTCTGATCATCAAAATTCTTATTCTTTTAAATAGTTGAAGAAAAACAAATATGTTATTTAATTAGTGTTAAAATAATAGTGCAGTGGCTGGGCAGCTGGCTGCCATACAACGTCTCGCGGGTTCGATTCCCGCACGGAACAACTCTTTATGTGATCCACAAATTGTTGTTCGGGGTCTGGGTGCAATGTGTATGTGAAATTGTATGCTTGTAACCGCACGCACGACACAGGAGAAAATCATGGTGTGGGGCAACGTATATTAAAAAAAATAGGTATGACGTCACAACGTGCTATTTCATACAAAATTCATAGAAGATTTACGTTTTTGAGTATTTGGAAGCCCTATTACATGTAATTACTACTTCAATGGCTTTTCCTCTTTTCAAAACATCTTGTGCAGTTTACGTTTACTTTCGGTTACGTGTTGTGTACGGTCGTTCAGTGTACCATGTACCTACTGACATGACTCACGCGCCATTCATGAAATACAGGATTTTACATCACGCACGCCATCGCCAGCCATTACTGAAAACTGAACAAGTTTGTTAAAGTAACGACGGCGACGCAGACTTTAGTGCACGCGAGCATTTAATTTTATTGTATACTTTTTACTTAATTACCCTGACGGTTGAATGATTGCGAATTTGACATTCTAACATGATGTCTATATTTCGATATATGACATGACGTCTACATTAGACAAAGTACCTATTTACCAAAATTTTACTTACTGCCTAGAAGACCTGTAGCTACTAGAGTTTTTTAGTTAATACTCGTGAGTGGTTATTTTCAAAATAATTTGCGTCCTAATATGCAACGGATATGTATCTATAACCTACTGTATCTATAAAGCAAAGAGACAGCCTTGATTGAAGAATAAGTTGAAGATTTAAGAACTCATGAACAAGACAAATGCGACATGATTAATACTGTTGTCCTACCTATGTTAATTTAATTAGTTCTAGTTTTAATTTCTATATATTTTGACTGTATAAACGCATAATTTTTAGAATGTTGGTTAGCTCGTAAATGGCTAATGTATATGACCTACTGCGTATAACCAATACTTTAAACCACTTTGTATACATAAGCTGTGAGCCTACCTTAGGATAAATAAATAAATAAGACATTTTTTTTCTACACAACACTTTGTCCATAACTACAGTTTAAACATCCACATACTACTATCATCAAATGAGAAACACAACCATATAAAAGCAATAACTTCTATTTACGTAGCGGCTGATATAAACAAGCTTACATATATCTAAATCTCTGCTCTCAAGTGGATTTACACACTGGATTGAATTATAGCTGTAATATAATAGATAGTGAACGATACAATGAAACAATTTTATTGAGATCTTGTTTGTATTAACTGTAATCATCAAGAAATTAATATTTAGCTATAGTTTTTAGTCAGTATTGCTCAAAACTTGATATTTAGGTATAGGATTTTTCATTTCGTTTCGACTTAATAGAAACTCTTTTCTCATTCATGTTATCTTTCACAAAATCTACCAATTTAAATCGAATGATCCATCCAGTAATTGTCAGTAGAATCGAGAAAAGGTTATAGGTATGTTGCACGCTGAATTCCACATTGAAAACGGCAGAGTTCAAGTTCGTTCAAGCTCAAATATTTACCAAAACGCATACGTCATTAGACTGACTTCCAAATAATGAAAATAACTGTTCAATAGATCTCATCGCTCCGTCTGTGTGCCAATGTAACGTTTAGTAACACCCCGGCCCTGTTAGCATATTATAATAAATTCACGACGACGTAATGTTCTACAACAACTCACAATAATTAAACGTTTACGAAATTGGCAACTCACAACTAGTACCTGGCAACATTGTGCTGACACGTATACATAGTATTTAATAAAAAAAAACCCGTAAAATATGTGATTCATAATCATTCAGGACCAGAGAATTTATGTAATAAACATGTTGTTAGGTAAGGTTGGGTTGCAACAGATGACAGGGTAACATAACCTAAAAATTGAGAATTTTCGCTCAAGTCTTACCCTCCGGAGCTTGTATCGCTTAAAGTGAGGAGCCATGGTGGTTAAGCCTTTGTCATAAGTCGCACATTTCACTGTATACACTTAACACTATCACTAGAGCAGTAACTAAGCGTGCATAATATTGTGATGATGACGGCCGCTCGACTGCGCGGCGGCTGCGCGCTAAAAATAATGGCGCGTATTGTGGGAGACGCGGGATGCGGGCGAGAACTTCAGATGGGAGATGTACATCGACTTGTCTATACTTTAAAATTTTAAAATACCTTTATTTCTATTACTTGCTACAAATGGAAACTTTTTTACAGATATATCCCGCTTATTTTTTTCGAATTTTGATTTGCTATACCTGTATATGGTATATAAGACAAATTTTAAGACATTCACATAATTTCTGTTGAAAGTAAGATATTATAAAGTTTCATGGAAAAGTTTTACTCTAATCAAAAGGCCAATAATGCTGGCAGGCACGCCAGAAGACATTCCAATCGAGTATAGTCACTATACTAAAAGTCCTACACTTAGGAAGAGAAATTCAGAAAAAAACACTTCGTATAATCTCCTCCTGCAATCTATTGTCAGTGTCCGTCCAAGTATTTATGAAAAAAAAACACGCGCAATTAATTTACTACTAAGCAACCAATTTTCTTTTAATTATCAATGAACACTTCGCCCATGTGAAATTCTTCGTATTAACTTTAACAATGAAACAATGAATTTATTTTTGCAAATATTCCATATAACGGCACTTTTACACGTCAATTTATATGTGAAAACAGCTTTCCGCAAAATACAATTATTCTAGAATTTAAGTGTTATTTCCACAAGTGGAACTTACCATACTGAAGTGACATCAGCAACTGGCAATGCAACTATCTTGCCTACAAATATCGATTTCTTGAATAAATAATCATTTCTTGGAAATATCGATGTAAATTATTTACAATTAGGTACAAATTAAAGGACTAAGTGGAAATTTGCATGTGCGTTTTTTACCGCCACTGTTTACTACAAAAAGGACACTAAAATACATTTTTTTTTTGTCTACCCTCAAAATTTGTTTTCGGGCAAAATATTGCTTTAGAACATGTGAAGAAGAATTATCCGAATTTGAACTTAACTGCTGTCACTATAAGGGACAATACATATTATTAGTGCCTAAAATGTTTGGGGATTTTCGACATGACAAGTACTAATGTTGTTGATACGTAAATACCAGTGAATTAAATCTGTTGGGTACCCGAATAATAGATAATTGCTTGGAATGAGGTATTCCAAAAATGTTTTTGTTAGGGGAAAAATCATCCAATGTCGTCTCTCAGAGGGACTGTCAGACTCTAACTGACTAAAACCACTCCGTTCCTTCTCCTCCCGCAACCCCGGCTGAACATCGGCCTTGTAGGGCCCCGTCTGTGTTGGTTTATTGGCTCTTTAAGGCATTCCATAAATGATTACGAAAATGTTTTTACTTCACATTAGATGGGAAAATATTTTTACTTCACATAATTGCAGAGTGTCATTTATTATATTTCGCAAATAAAATCATAATACAAGCAAGTTTTTAATACAATAGACGTCACCGAAAACGGTTAATCTTTATATATGAAACAAAACGCACAATGTAAACGAAACACTCCAATATTTTCGTACTGTCTAAACTATTTTCATATTACCAGAATACATCCCAACCACTTTAACTCTGCACTTTGATACAACCATACTAGCTTGTCATAAGGTTGATAACTTTTTAAATTATTACGTTAATAGTTTTGTAGTTATGGATGAGACGTGGAAAGCCAATGGTTCCGCCTCATTCGGCATTGATCTGTCAAAGTGTAGCTGGCAACTGATGCTATTGTCTTATCATTTAATTATACATTACGTATTTTTAATGTTTTAGTCGCGTCTAGCTCAGTACATGAGCACCGAGGTATGTTTTACCGAGGGAGGTATGTGACCAGCTGCTGAGCCATATTTTGTGAGATTACCTCTCGAAGTCTAAGTGTGATTTGGACGTATCAGGAAAAAGACACTTCGTGATAAAGTTCCTTAAAAAAAGTTAAAGATTTATGTTGTGTAAAAAGTCTTAAAAGGCAAAAGTAGCTTTAATTTAACAAATAATCAAAACTAAAAAAAAACTTTTGTTAAATCCATTCATTCACTTGTAATTTTGCTTAGTCTTCTCAATAAACGATGAGACGAGACAATCACCTATAACGCTTGCCGGCCAGTTTTTCTAAACTCTGCTGCCCTCTGGCGGAAATTTGCAGACATTTCTCGTAGCAGCGCTCTGTAGACAAGTTTGTTCATGTTTCAGCTATACGTCTGTTCGAGTTTACACATTCTACCACTAGATGGCAGTGGCCGCACTTGTTTAGTTTGTAGTTACACGCAAACTTTGTAGATGGCGCTAGTAGATCCACAATAAAACTAAAAAATATGTGTTATGTGTAAAAAATATAAAATTAATAAACCGTTTTAAACATACCAAGAATAATTTATAAGAATAATAAATCACGATAACTGAGGCGATAATATTTTATATAAAACAGAAATTAAAGTCGAATTCATGTCCGCAAGAGATATCTCTTAGGTACGTCGATAAAATTCAGTTGATCATTAGTGAATGAAGTGAAAAATATGAAGAGGTTATTATATTGGAGGCGAGCCAGATTAATATAAAGTGTTCACTCAGATAGAACAGTAGGCGATATGTCGTAGGTAACATTTGCGCAATAGTAACATGAAATTAAATAATACTCGAGCAAAACAAAATAGTTTTTTTACACATTTTAGTTATTGGCGTGTCGCCCGGGCTGCGTAGTGGCGTCTGAATTGCAACGTTGATTGAATCCCCCACATTATTTCTATGACCCATTTTTCACGGATATTTTTATTATATTTTCCCGTAATATTTCATGTTGTTTACGCGATCGCTGTTCATTAAAATGAAACTGATTTTTATGGATTGTTTTTCGTTTATTGTTTGATATTGCCTGTTATATTTGTGACTATGGCGCCTGCGGTAACGTGTGCTGACTGCTATAAGATTGATGCTCGTTAATGTGCCGCTTGGAACTTCGGAAATAAATAAATATGGAATCATTTGTGGTGTTCGTTGGCATGCAACATTTATGTATGATGAAGAGAGTAGCTATTTTTATTAGTTTATGCCTATTTCAGAGAGTAATAAGGTATAATAAGCTTCTTTTCAGTCTGTACATATACATAAATACATATGTAGTGTTTTTCATTTATGTAAGTTTTAATAAGTATAATCATACCCATTGTAAACATATTATATTTATTTTAGAGGTTTTTAAATTGCATTTGTTAATTAGGTGATAAATTACAATATATACAATAATAAGAAAACAATACATAAAAACAAGCACGACGTGTACCTAAGTGTTTGTTATATTCGTTTCTTTTTCTGTCACTGTTCCACCCTACAGTAGAGAAAGACTGTATCCTCTTTCACATCAATTCGCCTATATTGTGTGACGAAGAAATAACTAACAAAATAATAGAAAATAAAACAAAATAAATAAAAAAATATAAAATAATTATCTGTTGCAATCACTGCTGCGTGTGCAATCAAAGAAACATGAAAGTTTCTGTGATTGCACACGCTAATCATGTAGGTATACATAATATACAGTATGAGCTGTTTTAAAATTACTTTTCTTCGCTGACGAAGCTGAGGACCGAAGCTGCGACTAGTGGCACATACTTACAATTTGAACTAAATTTAGAACAAAACAAATAGTAACTTTTGCCACTGGACGAATTACATTCAGTCAACAAAGTTTTGGGAATGAATGTTTTTTTTATGGTTCCAAATTCGAATTTTAATTTTTTTTGTTGTTGTTAGATTGGCATAACTGTTTTCCATTTTGGCGCGGAATTTGAGTTGCATCTGTTATTTATATTAAAAACAGTGCTGTTTGTAGTTTTATAATATCTAGTGTGTATTGCGAATTTCCTAATGGACAAAAACATCGAACAAAGAGTTTGTCTTAAATTTTGCATCGCCAATGAAATTTCGTGTGAATCGACTTTATCAAAAACACGTGCTTATGAGTGGTACAAAGCTTTCAAAAGCGGTCGAGATGTGATGGAAGATTTGCCTCGTTCTGGTAGGCCATCAACGTCTGCAACTGAAGTTAACATCGCAAAACTGAAGGAAATAGTGACTGAAAATCCTCATTCAAGTTTGAGAGAGATGTACCATTTTAACAAATAATTTGGGTATGAAACGTGTTGCCGCTCGGCTAGTCCCAAAAGACCTGAATTTTCTTCAAAAACTAAATCGCATGAAAGTCGCTGAGGACATGCTAGAACGAGTCAATACCGACCCAACATTCATGAAACGCATTGTTACTGGTGACGAGACGTGGGTTTACGAGTTTGACATGCAAACTAGTCAACAAGCTTCGGAATGGCGCCTTCCAACTGAACCAAAACCGAAAAAACCACGTCAAAGTCGATCAAAAGTCAAAGTCATTTTGACTGTTTTCTTTGACTATCGCGGTGTTGTGCACTCAAAATTCTTGCCCGAAGGTCAAACGGTAAATAAAGAATATTATTTGAGAGTTATGCGGCGTTTAAGAGAACAAATTCGACGAAAAAGGCCAGAAATGTGGAAAGCAAATTCTTGGATTTTGCATCACGATAATGTGCCTTCGCACAAGGCCATCATTGTAAACGATTTTTTGTCCAAACACTCAACAAACACCATCGAGCAGCCACCATATTCACCAGATATGGCTCCAGCCGACTTCTTTCTTTTTCCCACACTCAAATTACCCCTTCGTGGCACCCGTTTTCAATCGTTAGAAGACATAAAGGAGAATTCGCGGCGAGCACTGAACTCAATTCCGGAAACAGCGTTTAAAAAAAGTTTCGATGATTGGATTATTCGTTGGCGTAAGTGTATCGTTTCTGAAGGAGCATACTTTGAAGGTGATAAAATAAATTTAGATGAATAACAAACATTTTGTGTATTATTGACTTTTTCCCGGTACTTTCTTGACAGAGTAGTACTTATGTATAATATTGAACCAATTAATAAAAAAAACTTTATCATAACCTTTACTCCTAATTAACTAATGTACCTACGCGTACCTACTTAGTACTCGAAAATAGTTTTCGAAAAGTGAAAAATATCAAATATCGACGAGTTCATCCAACAACAACTATTTTGTTTTGTTATTATTAAGTTAA